GAGGGCATTCCCAACCCTCCGCTCCCGGCAGGAAACGATCTGGACTGAGGTGACCTAGAAGTGAGAAATATCAAATTTTCTTTGGCTTTGTGAAGTCGGTGAGGTTTGGGTTTCACCGTGAGGGAAAGGCAGGGCTGGGGGAGGCCCAGAGGAAGCAGCTCCGGAGAAATTCGGGATTCTCCTACGGAACGCCCCGCTCCCACCCCCAGCTGATTCCCAGCAGCAGGACAACCCTTCCATGGATTTGCTGTGGCACAGGAAGGATCAAACCCGACCTGCAGAGGAGCACTGGGGGGTTTGGGGGTTCTGTTCCCCACAAAGGGAATGGGTCCCACATCATTTCCGAGGGTGCCCTCGGAAACCCGACGGAAGCGGGGCTGAGGGAGGCCCAAAGCCCTCAGGAGATGACAAATCCAATCCAAAATCCCCTTTCCATGAAAGTGAGGCCACTTTGGGGTTATCCTGTGGAATTGCCTCTGTTATCCAGGACCACCAATCCCGGCTCACTCTGCTCCATAGGAACATAAAAAGGCAGGAGAGCCAAGGCCTGGTCACAGCTGATGTGGCTTGTAGGAATCAAACACAAAGTGTTGGGATTGTGGAGGTGAAGTTTCCTCCAAGCACAGCCACTTCCCTCATCCACAGCAGCCTGGGAGAGCAGGAGCACCCCCATCACTCCATCAGGGCAGAATTCCCAGCTCCTGACGGGAATTCTCTTTCCAGACTGGCTGGGAGGACACAAAGGCACCTTTCCACCTCCAGGGCCAGGCCCACGTCAGTGGCCCACGTTTGTGGACTGAGGTTGTCAGCAGGCAGTCCAGAAGACTTTTGGGAGGCCTGGGGCAGTGGGAGGTGTCCCTTCCCATGGCAGAGGGTGGGATGGGATGGGATTTAAGGGCCCCAAACCATCCTGGGATTATTTGATGATGTAACTCCTGTCTCCTGCACATCCTTTCAATCAAGGGCTCGACCCTGCAGGTCGAGGCTTTGGGGGTTTCTCTTCAAACCCCAAAATTCCCAGAGAGGTGTGGACTCCTCATCCCTGGCAGTGTCCAAGGCCAGGCTGGACAAGGCTTGGAGCAACCTGGGATAGTGGAAGGTGTCCCTGCCATGGCAGGGTGGGATGGGTTGATTTTTAAGGTCCCTTCCAACCCAAACCATCCTGAGATTCAAAGCCCTCAACAGGAAGGACATCCCTCAACATTCCAGGATCCATCCCAAAAAACTCCCACAAGCTTGCGAACAACAACCCCACCTTCCCCACCCCTCACAACCAAACGGGCCCAGCCCAACCAAGCTGGGGCTGAGTTTTTTGTAGTTGAATTTTTCAGAGTCAGGTTTTTCAAAGCAACTCCACTCCTCGAGACGGAGTGACCCCGGCCACAAACCTGCACCCCAGA